GGCGTTTCCTTCTGTTGTACCCAGGGTCACTAGGAGTCAGAACAGGGGATGGGTGGTGGGTGGGGGGGTTTCTCTGGTGCCAGGCAGGTGGCACACAGTGGAGCTGGGAGACGAACATCCCTCCCCCTGCTGTTCCGGCCTCTTTAGCCGTGGTGGGAAGGTTACGCCTGGCCAGGTGGGGATCAGGTTCATCCATGATGTGTTTAAGTGTGGGGAGTATGGAGTGGGACAGACAGACAGATGGATTTGAGGGTCCTGAGTGTCAGATCTGCAGAGAGAAATCAATGGCTTAAGAGATGGAGGATCTAACGCATCCGTTCTCAGCCAGGGCCATTTGGCACGGTCTGGGGACATTTTTCATTGTCACTTTGGGAGCGGGGAGTCGGTGTGGAGGTGCTGCTGACATCGAGCAGGTAGAGCTCCCTGCATGTACCTTGCCAGGCATGAGACAGCCCCACCCCCACTCCTCACAGAGATCCAACTGCCCCTCCCCACCCCTGTCTGGGATGGGCCGAGGTTGAGACACCCCAGCTGGTAAACTCAAGAGTCTCACATCCGATCTCTCTCTCTCTTTCCCTGCTCCCACCCCCTTTACCTCCCTCTGATCTCACCCACCCCACATCCGTCTCTCCTAATTCCCTCCCGCCGGTCTTGCATCCCAACCGCCCCTGCACCGGGGCCCGGCGCCTCCCCTACCCCGCCCATCTGCGGCCCCGCCCGCCAATCAATCGGGCACATCTGTCGCCACCGCCTTTCCCCTCTTCTCCTCTCCCCATCACGGCTTCATATTGTATGTGTATGTGTGTGTCTCTCTGTATGTGTGTCTGTCTGTCTCTCCTTGCTATTCACCTCGTCTGCCTCCTTGTGTGGGACCGTCCATCTGTCTGTCGCCCTACCGGACTGTCAACTTTGGGCCCGGGCACGCCCCCCTCTGGTTTCTTGCTCTTGTTTCTCGGCCCCCTATCTGTCCCCATCCTCGCTCCCCACCTGTCCATCCATCCTCTCTGGTTCTCCCTGTCCACCTGCCCGTCCATCTTCTCCGGTCTGCTCTGTCCACTTGTCCACCCTCTTTGGTCCGCCCTGTCCATCTATCCTCTCGGGTTCTCCCTGCCCACCTCTCCGTCCATCCTTCTCGGTCCTGCCTCAGGACCTGTCTGTCCATCCTCTATCGCCATCCTTGCCCACTCACCCTCCCTGGTCTCCCCCTTTTCAGCCCTTCTCTCCGGCCTCCGCGAAGTCTGGCGGCCCCGGCGCAGCCCCCGCCGCGCCCA